TTATTATTATTATTATAATTGATGCTATTTGACTCATACACGATTTAACAATTTTTGTAGGTATTTTATCTACTCCGCCGGACATTTTATTTTTCAATTTTTTTGATATTTCTAATAGTTTTTTAACTGCACTTGCTTTAAATGTATGACACTTTTGTTATATTTAATTTTATGAGTAAAAGTAATATGACATTGGTTTTGACTCATTTCATTTACATAATTTACTAAAAAACTATTATATTTATTTGCTGCTTAGTGCTTCCTTAGCACTACCGTCAATTTCAATGGGTTGGTTATGTTTGAATAACATTTCCTCTAATATCTAATTATAAGTTGGTTTAAAAAATACTCTACACAAATTTCTGTGCTGTTTTTATCCTATTCTGTAGTGTATTTTTAGTTCTGAGAACTATCCTATTTTTTGAGGTATGAAGCTGTCAAAAATTTTTTTAAATGGATGACACTATACAGAGCTTGGTGAGAGTGCGACTTACAGTTTTCTAAATATTAAATAAAGTTTGTATGAAATTAGCATGAAATACTTGACTTGTAGACTATATATTTTAATTTGTTACTGCACGATTGTCCCTCATTGTTTTTCATTGCTATGGTATTTGCATATTTCTTTACCAAGCGATAAAACATTTCTATTTTCTCAGTTGAAATTAATATTAATACCCGGAATTTCATCAAATTGCCATGTTATTGAACAAAAATATAATCAAAATACCAAACAAAAATTTTTTTTGGATGCCCTGTATCTCAAGAACCAAGCTGTTGCAGACCCATGTTCATGTGAACTTTTCATCTTAAAATTAGTCATAGATGCACCGTTTAAAGTTTGTACAAGTGCTTAGTAAACGCTCTATATTACAGTACAAGTATTAAATGGTAATGATCCTGACAGAAGGATGCGGTTTTGTCAGGAAATAATATAATAGTTCCTGATGAATCTTACAAGAATAGTTTTGTAAATCGATGTGATTTTCGATACTGGTTAGATCAGAATCCTCACAGGATGGTAGAAAATTACATCCAATATTCTCAAAAGTTAAATGTACAGGCGGGAATAATCAGAGGAAACATCATCGAATCAGTCATTTAAATACTGTGTGGGTCAATCACTGTAGTATTAAACCATTCATTTCCAAAGCAGGAAAATCTTGAATGAATATCAAATGAAATTTGGTATCAACAGGACTGAGTTCAGCCTCTATATGAATAATTCCTAAACCTAAATGAAATATTTCCACAAACATGGTTGAACAGGAGATATTGAATGACCACCGTGATAACCAGATTTAAGTCCTTCAGACTATTTTCTTCGAAATCCTTTAATATGGGTTATCTTTTAAGACCAAATTGCAGTCATTGGGAGAATTTGAAGATTGAATTAGGCTGGTTCGTTCACGAACCGTAGTACATTCTGCAAAAAACACTTGATATATTGTCAAGCTGCTAAAGGTCTCCAATTTGAACATTTATTATGAATATTTTACTTTTCTCGTAATAGTCAGTATTTTGTTTTAATAAAGTTCATCTTACAATACTTTTAGTATTTCATTTAATATTTAGAAAACTGCAAGACGCACATCTACCAAACCCTATATCGTTGTAATTCTTGAAAAAGCATTGCTTCAAAATATAAAAATTAAAGTGACATCGATTTAAAAAAATTGCCGAGAGTACTTTTTAATCTAACT